CCGTCTGATGTCATATTCCGGCACCCGGCATCACTAAACCACGCAAGGGAGCAGTGAGAAACAGATAGAAGGACCCCAGGGAGATGCCCCACATCAGCTCCAAAAGGTAGGGAGCAATAAAGTAAAGTATGTGTGTGCAAGAATGTGTAAGCGTGTGTGTGGGTCAGTGTTGCATTGACTGCGACTGGACAGTGGAGTACCTGGAGGTGCATGGAGGCATGCAACGCCACATCACATTCTGGGGATGTCCAAAGCCACTGCACACACTGCATCCACTACACAAATACACACTCTGCATCCACTACACAGACACTGCATTCACTACACACACTGCATAACATAATAGATGTGGGCATATTTTGCTTTGTGTGGTTTTGTTGGGGGTGTGGGGGGGGGGGCAGCATTTCATCCTGTGATCTAGGCAGCACAATGCCTTGGGCCGGACCTGCACACAACCGCACAAGCAGTCTCTCACATGCAATACCATAAGCAGCCCCACACATGCACACACCACCAAACACACAATGTGACATATCCTCGACACATAATTCCACAAGCATCCCTTATACACAGACCACTTCATAGGTATCATACACAATACCACAAACTACTCATGAATATATACAATATAACTGCATACACACAAAAACAATACTACAAAGCAACTGCAGCACCCATAAATAACACAAGCAGAATACGGCAATATACACACCTCGATTTAAAATAATAAGACTGGTGTGTATGTTCAAGATCTTGTTTTGGCACAGTACTACTAAAAGATTGCCTACCTCTGCTATAGACTTATTGGTGATAGATAGATAGATAGATAGATAGATAGATAGATAGATAGATAGATAGATAGATAGATAGATTGATAGATAAGAATACACCATGCTAGATTCACTTTACTGACACATTCATGTTATACGGATTATGTAAAGTTAGAAAATCTTGTTTTACCAAAATTATGATATGTTTGACTTGCAATTGCTATCAATTCAGATGTGGTTAAACTGTAATGGTTAAAGTGTTATCTCAATCACCATGACCACTTCATAGTCATTGTAGAGGACCTCTGGTAACCCGACTGGTTACCTCAGCTAAACTCTACTCTCAGCCCGACTGGAACCATGTGTGAATATAGCTCTTTTCCCCCCAGTAACCAGACGAGACATAGTTCTGGGAGTAATCTGAGTTTATTTCTCTGAATGTTGTCTTTTATGCCCAGGCCCCAAGCTTGAGGTCTCCATTCTCTTGCACAGTGATTCCGCCCAGGCGTCTCATTGTCTGGGAGATAATTGAGTCAAGGACCGGTACGTTATTTAAGTTATGAACATAGAAACATTCGAAAAACACCCCAAAATACAATTAGAACTCACAGAACCCCACATTTCATACATCCCCCGATAGCTCTTGTCCGAGCGCCCAAGTTGGCCAAATAGTGCCCAGATCCATAAAGATTTGTCCAATCGCCACCCGCGTAAGGTTTTGACTAGCCGTACACAGGGGCGAAGCAAAAAACTGTTCCGGAGGAAAAGGGATCTTGGTCGGTCAAACATCCGGAGTTCCTGTGGTCAAACGAAAGGACGGTCCCCCTGGTTCTCTGGGAGCAATTGTTTTCAAGAGTCTGTAGTACCTTCACTCCAAATAGCTCTCCCCTGGCATGTCGGCAAGTGAGACAAAACGGGAAGATAAGTAGAACGGAAACTGTGTGGTCCAGTGGGCATGTAGAGTTCTATGCAGTTCACAGCTAACTACCACTGGCTTTATGTCTGCACTCCATTCATATACTCCTGAAGCAATGAGTGAGATAGATTTGCCAAAGGAATAATCACAGCAATTAAGATACAGTTACTGTAGTTGCTGTGACAGAGAGCAGGAGAACCGCGTATGGAATTAAATGACAGGATCCCTGTCTCTTGTCACACAATTCTCAGCATAAATGTCTATATTGTCAATACTCTTGATTGACAAGTGTATATATTCATTGACAAAGCTCTACATATTCATAACATTTTCAGATCTTTAACTAAATATTTTTGTACTATGATAGTCACCCAACCCCAAATGTAATTTCACATTGTGAAGCAAGTGAAGGGGTTTAAATTAATGCAGTCCCTCAAATTTTGTTCCCCACTTATGGGGCTTTCCTAGTTCTTGCGCCCCATAGCTCACTAATGTCAAACTTGTTTTATATGATGAAAGAGGTGTGATATCACTTTCAGAATGTGCTTTAGTACAACATTAAAAATCTGTGCCTTTTTAATAAAAGCCATGAAACTTCTTATTCATTATAGACAGCCATCTGTTCATCTTAAATAATTTACAATTATGAGCAGTGTTTGGAAAACGAGGGGGAACACTAAGCGGGCTCACAGAAGTAGGAGATGACTTTCAGTTACTTGATTCTGCATTCTCAGATTGTATTTAGGAACTGTCTGTGCTTGCAATAATACCTCATGGCTACATTAGGACTCACTCTTTTCAACCTTTATTAGGATTAAATATCTTTCTACACTCAGAAACATCACAGAACCAGCTTGAATCCCAGTTTATATCTGTCATCAATCTAAAATTCTTTATAAAGCAGTTTAACTGGAAGCTACGGTAGGGAAACAAGTACTTGTGCTAAGCTATAAGGAAGTGTGCTGACATGTTACAGTGAGAGAAAAGAAATTGTGTGTCAAACAAGGTAACATCAATCTTCATGGTCTTTAACATTTCCTTTTACATTTAGCAGCAATTGCCATACAAGGCAGACACCAAATAAAAAAAATAAAAAAATCCATAGAATTTTAGAGCAGTCATAATACAACCGGTAAAATAATTATTGCCCCACACACATACTGGGATATTCACTACAGTAAGAAACAAGGAATCTAAAATTAATTTGAACTTTAAAGGGACACTATAGTCACCAAAGCAACTGTAGCTTAATGAAGCAGTTTGAGTGTATAGATCAGGGGTAGGCAACCTACGGCACTAGTGCCATGCACGGCACTCGAGGTGACTTTGCACGGCACTCAATGCTGCTACAGCCAAACAGGCTCTGTCGTATCAGGAGTCCCAGTGAAACTTCAGATATCTGCTAATACGAAGAGGTGGTGAAGGACAATCCTCAATTTATGCATTGTAGCACATAGAGGAAGTGATCTCAGATCACTTCCTCCCAGCACTTGTGAATGGGAATCCACACTGTAGTAGAGCAGCTTGCAGCTGCTGTTGCAGCTCCTATACTTGAGCTATGCCTGGCCAGCCTGGTCCCCACTGGAACCTAGGGAAGCCACCCATACTGCTAGATATACACAGAAATAACCCTCCCCTCATACAAATAATACGAACAGTCCATTCACAAACATACACACAAACCCCACAAACGCAACACCACTAACTATCCACATACATGCACACAACCCCACATCCAGCATCTCACATGCAATACTTCAAACAGCCCCCACACACTACCAAACACACAATGTGACATTTCTATCCACACACAATTCCACAAGCAGCCCTCATACACAGCCCACATTCATAGGTATCATACACGATACCATAATGTACTAATGAACATATACAATATAATAGCTCCTATACGCACAAATACAACGATACAAAGCAATTACAGTAAAAATAACACAAGCAGAATACAACAGCACACAAACCTCAATTTAAAAAAATAGGATCGGCACGCTTAGGGACATCACAATCCTATATCGGCACAGTGCTGCTAAAAGGTTGCTCACCCCTGGTATAGATCATGCCCCTGCAATCTCACTATTCAAATCTCTGCCATTTAGAAGTTAAATCACTTTGGTCATGCAGCCTTTTGAGGTCTCTCCAGAAAAATTGCAGCCATTGTTAATATAACGAGAACGGTATGCCAGACATCAATGTTATCTGGCAGACAAGGAGAGTGGACTGGAATGCGCATGCGTAAACAATGACAACATCACTGTACTAGTCAGTGGGGGACCTAGATGCTGTTGAGTGAGCATGTGTACTCTGTGCCCCTCACATTCAAAATGACAGAGCGAACAGAGCAACGTATCTGCATCAAATTTGGCGTTAAGCTTGAACATTCCTCTGTGGAAACTGCTCAGATGATTCAGAAGGCTTTCAGGGACGATGTAATGAGTGCAGTCCAAATAAAAGTGTGGCACAAATGCTTCAAATATAGTTGCTAATTTGTTGAAAGATTTAGCGCCTGACGACTTTTGGCTTTTGCCAAAACTAAAATCATAGTTGAAAGGGAAAAGATTTCAGACCATTGATGAGATTCAGATAATTATGATGAGGCAGCTGATGGCGATTCTAACAAAGGATTTTGCAGAATGCTTTGAACAGTGGAAGATATGCTGGGAAAACTGTGTGAGGTCCCAAGTTGCCCAATTTGAAGTGTTTGCACATCATTCCTAAACACATCATTTTAAGAGAGATCTTATTGCACATTCTGTTTAATTTAGAATTTCTTATCTCCTCTATTAATAGCCTTCTAGACTCTGCCAAAGCCTCCAATGTGTGATTATAGTTCAATTTACAGAGCAGGAGATACAAACTTCTAAAGTAAGTGAACAACTGATTGAAAATGAAGCAGCTTTGTTCATGTAGGTTGTGTGGCTAGGGCTGCATAAACAGAAACAAA